TTCAAAAAGCACTGCTAAAGGTGTAAGTCTAAAAGCGCTGCTAAAGGGGGGGTAAACCTAAAGCGCTGCTAAAGGGGGTACCTTTAGCAGCGCTTCTTGAAAGCGCTGCCTTTGTGTAAATCTAAAAGCGCTGCTAAAGGGGGGGTAAGCCTAAAGCGCTGCTAAAGGGGGGTACCTTTAGCAGCGCTTCTTGAAAGCGCTGCCTTTGGTTTGTTAATTTATTTCTAAACCCCTAACCCCTAAATCAGATTTCCAGAAACACAAAATTAAACCCATATCGTTGTTCATCTTCTTCTCCATTCGTCTCCTCCCAAACTCCCCCTGTCTCACTCCATTACTCCCTTTGTTCCGTCATCTCTCAAACCCTCCTCTCAACCGCTTCATCTTCATCGTTACCAACCACCACCATCAATTGTCAATCGTCTCCATCCTTCATCCCTTCGTCGTCCTCTAACCATTACCCTCCGCCTCGCATCAACGGCACAATCACCAACACCATCAGCCTCCTCCGTTGCATCACCTTCGAATCTTTGGCTCACGGCTAATTCATTTTTTCAATCCAAGTAAGTGTTCCTATCATTAAAGCCTGTGCTTCTGGATTCATTTTTTGGTGTGCATCGTGACTAGAGTGTTTAGTTGAATGTAGGTGATTTATGTGTTGAGATTTTCTGGATTCTGTGAGCTTTGGGGTTTGATTTAGGAATTTAGGGTTCAATACATAAGCACTTATGAGAAATCTAATAGTTAATATAGGTTACAAAATCCATTAGTTGCAAAATAAAGCCAACTACATAGATATAATATAATTCGATTAGCAACTAAATATTAGATCCCATTTCTGTTTTTCCTAAGTGAGGATAGCTCTGCCAATGACATTGATGCAAACTCCGCAGGTATGTCTTCTTCGAGTTATTATCACAAACTGAATATTTTATATTTCTAAACAAGATTTAGTCTTAAATTTCTGTTGAATATATATTTGATGAAATTAATTCATGACCAGCACATTGTCACAAATGCTTCCTGCACAGAGGACATTTGAGCCACCTCACTCTCTCATGATTGTTTTATCATTGGTATTACTCCAGGTCCACTGTTTAGTGAAGATGATGCTGGAACTATAAAAGAAAGGGAAGTGTTTATTAACAAGAAGTTTGCTACTGAGAAATCTAATGTTATTTCTGAAAAGAAACCCCTACCAGCAGATATACAGTCCGCTTTTGTCGTACAAATAAAATCAGTATTTAAGTGCAGGCTATGTCCTCGGATTATTTGTTTGACTGAGGACACTTTGCGGAATCATCTTCAATCAAAGGTACTGCACTTTTTTCTCTTGTTGTGCAATATCCTTATGCATCATCCGTCTTTACTATTTGTGCTACTATAGCTTGAGAAGAAAGTCATAAACTATTAACTATTCTTCCCCAAAAGATCAATTACTACATTTTATGTATTCGTTGGTGGGAAGTTTAGTAACTGGTTTGAACTGGGAAATTCAAGGAAGATGCAATCATTATGTCTGCGACTATTTAGGTATTCTGGGATAGTAGTTGCATCGCAAACTTCAGGTTGTTCTAATCTCTGTTTATGGAGATCCCTTTTTTAACAAATGATAAAGCTTGAATCAATATTTCCGTCTGTCTTTTGCATCTTGATGAAATGTCAAAATTTTACTTGCCGTCAATGTTGATCTATGACTTTGTTATTACTATAGAGACATGCTTGATCTGAAAAGCTACACAGGGAAGGCAGACTGAAGGTCATGCTCAATAGTGATGGTGAAATAGAGCCAATTTAGACCTATCAGATTGAAGAAACCAATTTATTAGTTGATACAACCATGTTTGTGTATGGAATTGAGACTTGACAATTGTTTGCTGATTTTGTTGTACAGGAGCTACTAAAGCCACTTAAAAATGTGGTCCCTTGGTTACAAGAAATATTCACATGGGAAAGACCAATACATACTCTTGTTGTTCTTGCTGCATCCCTAATAATCACTTATATGTAAGTTCTTATTTTATACACTATATTATGTATCTATCAAATGGTGTTGTTACATTGTTTATGATTGAGTTTTGCAATGCAGGGAATGGGTTGGAAAGGGAGCTACAGCATTCTTGGTATGGGTGATAGTAAAGATGCTTGAGGCAAGAGAGAAAAAGCTTAATGAGCGATGCAATGAGATAGTAGTCAGTAGATATGATATGGCTTCTGATCAATCTACGATGGATAACATTGTCTCAGCCCAACATGGATTTTACACTGTTCATGAGATGGTGCAGATAGCAAACATAGCAATGTTAAAGATATGGTCCATACTTATTTCAAAGGCAGACAAGGTAGAATCTCTTGGTGAAAATTGAAACACTTTTATGTAATGTCCATAGCAAAACATAGCAACTCTTTTTGATAAACACAATTTGTTGTTTGTATGGCAGCATGCAAAGACAGTGATGGTGGCAATAGGGGGATTAGCATTCTTATTAGCAGTAATACCATTCAAGTTCTTCCTAATGGGTCTCATTGTGCAAAGTTTCACCATGGCGTTCAAGACAAGCAAGTCTTCAGGAACTGGGAATAGAAGGTTGAAGGAATGGTGAGACTCAATACCAGTAGTCCCTATCCGCATAGTAGACAATGTTCCTAACTCTCAACATGCTAAATAGTTCCTTTTGTGTATCCCCTCAAAAAGAATGTTGCTTGTGTGTGTATAAAGGGAAGGGAAGTGATAGTGTACATGACAACTGAAGACTTTAAAGATGGGTGTGTAAAGTTGTTTTATTGCATTTCTTGCTTCAACTGTTTCAATAAGAAATTTCTTGGTTGTACAAGAATTCTTTTTGTTTTGTCCAGCAAAAGGGTTGCAGAAATAAAAATACCCATATAAGAAATATGTAAGTATAAACATAGATAATATAGAAAGTGTTATTTTAAAGTTTGTCTTCTTGATATTAGTAAAGAAAAAACTAATACTAAATTAGTAAAATACGCATGTATAATGTATTCATGTACTTTTCATGAAAGCGCTGTCTAAAGTGATTGAAAAAAAAAAATTTTAAAAATGAGGAAAACCGCTGCTAAAGGGGGGGTAATAGACAGCGCTTTTCATGAAAGCGCTGTCTAAAGTGATTAAAAAAAATTTAAAAAAAAATGAGGAAAAGCGCTGCTAAAGGGGGGGGGGGATAATAGACAGCACTTTTCATGAAAGCGCTGTCTAAAGTGATTGAAAAAATTTTTTTTTTAAAAATGAGGAAAAGCGCTGCTAAAGAGGGGGTAATAGACAACGCTTTTCATGAAAAGCGCTGTCTAAAGTGATTGAAAAAAAAATGAGGAAAAGCGCTGCTAAAGGGGGGGTAATAGACAGCGCTTTTACCAAGCGCTGTCTAAAGTGATTGAAAAAAAAGCGCTGTCTATACCTTTAGCAGCGCTTTTAAGCGCTGTTAAAGGCCTAAAAAAGCGCTGTCTAATCCCTTGTTTGGCATAGTGTTGGTGTGAAGATAAGAAAGATAAAAGAAGCACAACTGGATATTTCTTTCAAGTATTTGATGCTCCAATCTCTTGGTGCTCGAAAAAGCAATCTGTTATGGCATTAATATCATGTGAAGCTGAATATATAGCAGGATCTTATGCTGCATATCAAGCAATTTGGATCAGATCAGTACTTAAAGAAATGGAGGTCGAAGTAAAGAAACCTCTTGTGTTGCAAATCGACAATAAGTCAGCCATAAATTCAGCGAAGAATCCAGTTTTGCATGGAAGAAGTAAGCATATCGAAGCTAGATTTTACTTCTTGAGAGAAAATATAAATCGAGGTGAACTTGAAGTTAGACACTGCTCAAGTGAAGCACAGTTGACCGACATTTTCACGAAAGGATTGGAGATCGACTGAATTTGAGAAAGAAATTAGGAATAGTTCATATCAACTATGATTAGCGTAGGTTCTTCAACTTGGATTATGAGGGTATGTTGAAATACTTGATTTAATATTTAAATATAATTCAAATTGTGTAAGTCCAAACCCAATTAAAATTGTATATAAATTGTCATAGTATATATCATTATTATTTGTAACAATTCAAGTCAATAATATAATCCTTATTTTTTTTATTCTATCTTTCTCTATTCACTAAAAGTGTCTCACACACTAATAAAAAAACTTTAAAAATATATTAAAATATTCCCTATTATAAATAGGTATTTAAATCCTTTTTAATCTTTATTTAATTGCAAATTATATTTTACATGAATAAAGTTTCTACATCAATAAAATTATTGTTATCAAGAAAATGAACATAAGAAGAAAAATATAAAATGTATGGAACTGTTATTTATATTTTATTCACCTCAAGAGTTAACTCAAGTGTGTTACATTTATATACACACATATCTCTATCTCAATCCCCGATAAACTCCAAACCAATTACAACCAACATATTGTAATTGAAAAATAACGTTGTTTCATAAAGATTTTCGCGATTATAATTGTTATCGTTGCAATATCAATTACATTCATGGCAGTGTGAATTAATTATAAAAAAATTTCACTATAAACTTTTTTCACAAAAAAAAAATGATGAATTACGATTTCAAATGAGATATTTTTCAATACCATTTTGTCGCTTGTTGTTTTCACCTTAAATTAATTTTTTTTAGAACCTTGGCTATAGTTATAAGCCTATAATCAATACTTAACAATATTGGCACCATATTAATCAAGAAGCTGTCTCATTAGTCCGTACATAATACAAATTCAACCAGAACAGTAGAAAACACAAGTGTGTCTTTAATCTTATATAATTAAAAGGTAGAAACACAAATTTCAACATCCTAACAAACTTCAATTGTAGTAAAGAATAAATCTTTATATTCAACAATCAACAAGCCCAAAAAAAAGAAAGGTAAAAGAAAAAGAAAAAAAAAACAAGGAAAACCGTTTTCCTAACTATGTATAAACACCAAATCAAACAAAATATAGAGGACACACACTGTTTTGTTTTCTACAAAAAGATGAAACAGTCCAATGAGATAAGAGGATTATCAACATCTTCCATAACTGTTGAATCCATATTGTGGTTGTGGTTAGAAACCACATCCTTAACAATGGTCTCTCTCTGCCTCGAATTCAAACCAGAAGAATGAATCCGTCGCAAACTGTTGTTTGAATTCGGACTAGAGATCTTTGCTTTAACGCTTTCTTTTCTTATAGAAGAAGACGAATTAACCGAACGGGAATAATGAGCAACACTAACATTGGGACTGTTGTTAGTATTACTCATTCGCTTCGAAACACTGTTGTCTGAGATGGTGAATCTTCGGCTTGGAGAAGGTGAACCCGTCATTCTATTAGGCCTCGTTGGTAATAACTCTACTTCCTTTCTGAAACTCTTCTGTCGTGTAAGATTCGTCGGTGAATTTGATCGAACTCTTTTCTGTGGCATGTTTTGCTTAGTTGGTGAAGGGTTTATGGTCTTGTTAGGTTTGGTGGGGATGAAGGAAAGAGGAGAAGATTCGGAGAGGGAGTTGATGCGAGTGATGATGTGTGGATTCTCCTTGTAGCACGACCAAAGAAACTCGTTGGAGAAGGATCTGTCTTTGGAGGTTAAAGATGATAATGAATTAGAGCTTGAAGATGAGATGGTGTTGGAAGAAGTAGTGCATGTGAAGGAGGAAATTGAAGAGGTTGGTGATGGAGGTGATAGAGGTGAAAGTGAGAGTTTGTTTGAAGGATAAACGTTGGTTCGTGTTGGAGAATGAGAGATGACGAGTTTGTCTTGAAGGTGTTTGTTGAATTGATCAAGAGAGTTTTTGTTGGGTTTGCATTTGCTGATGCAGCAACCCATGATTTGATTGAGAAATGAGATGCAAGGGAGTGAGGAAAAAGAAAAGGGTGGTGATTTGTGGTGGTTAAGTAATTTGATATAGCATTGGGAGTTGGGTTTGAAAAACAGGTATATTTAGCTTTTGGTAATTTTTATTTTTGCTTTTTAGAGTTTGTGGTTGTTTGAATTTGGTTACCGGGGATGGGTTCCGTTGGGTAACGGTTATGTAGGAAGGTGATGGCTGGGTTGCATGATATTCATAATTCATATGACTTTTGCTTTTGAGTTTTGAGTGCGTGAAGACGTCAAGGTGGGGTCTGCATTGTATCATTGTATGTAGTGGATCAATCTGTCATATAAGAAAAATATCCTACATATCCTTACATATGTGTCAAGACCTAATTACATGGGTTAATTTTGAAATTTGAATATTACTTTATTCCTGACTCTCTCTCGTCCTTTTTCCCCTGCATCTATCTTTATTGTTTCTCACACTTCTCTCTTTTTCTCTTTCTTCAACGTAGAAACCACTGTGCCAACCCGACTCACTTTTCTTTCTTTAAGATTTTTCATTTTTCATATGTTGATATTTATGGTTTTGGTATTATTTTCTCAGGTCTGTATAAAATGCCCTGAAATTTTTGAAGATGGTTATGATTTGTACGGCGATGAAATAGAAGTGGATGTTGATATATGTTTTCTACTGAATACTTGAGAAGCTACATGGGTGAGTTTGTGTTGTCATTGTTTGATTCCATTTAGGGTTTCAACTTTGTTTCGTTTTCATGGTACTTTCATGGTACTACATGGGTGAGTAAGTGTTGTTATTGAACTGTTTAGCATTCATATGAATTTCTTGTATAATGTCATGGTTTTTGTAACTGTTTGAGTCATGATGTATTTCTTGTATAATGTCATGGTTTTTATCATTCTCCTTAAATTTACCAGTCCCTATACAAGTTTAGTTTACTTTACATGTTAGTTAATGACTCTTTGTGCTATATTTGTTATCTAATTTCCATGTTTTTGAAGTATGATTTAACAACTCTCTTATACAAGTTTTGTTTGAACTATGAGGTCATAAAAGAGTTGCTGTCAAAGTTGGTCTTGAAGTCTGCAATTTTATAATTCAACTTTTTAACTTTTATCTTTGGCGAATGCAGTCGAAAGCGGTTCAGTGAAAAACAAGCAGAAAACTGGCGGGCTGAGAATCGGGTAAGAGTAATGCACACATGATTGACAAATCGGGTAAGAGTAATGCACACTTTATTATTTCATTATTTCATTATTTCATGACAGCTTTAATGCATGCAATAAGCCCACCAATGTCAGGTAAGTGTTATGTACTTAATTTTTGGATCATTATAATCCCTGCTACATCTTTCAATGAGAATTTATTTGACTCATTTTTGAACTTCAGGATTCACGTCTACAACAATGAGGATGTGACAAATTTCTCAATGGCGTTGTCTCAATTTTCATTAGGAGTTATTGGCGCTGTCTCAATTTTCTCTCTTCGGCACTACTCTTTTATCTGGAAAGACACTTTCAGTTTGTAAGTAACCCAATATTTTGCTTTATTCCCAAGTTTGAAAATTCGCATTATTGATGCCTTGATGTTATTATTGTTTCAGAAAATGAGACATTACTTCCATTGTAAACTCTCTTGTGCCAACTTTAGTGTTAAATACATTACCCGTGACATTTTCTGACAACACCTATTCTTATGCTTTGACTGAACAATTGGCTCCTTAAATCCTACATGGGATCGATTTGAAGGCCCTTAAGATTCCAAATGTTGCTGCAGATGTTGGTTCTGAAGCTATCTGTGTGTCACAGAATATACAAACTTATCTTCTTTTGTTCATAGAAGCTAAAGCAGCTATGTTAGCCTTAAGCTGCCAGTTTCACTCCATCAACTACTTGAATTTATGACTATTATGACATGTCCATAGCTGTTTTTAGTTTATTTTCTTTGAAAATAGTTTATGATTATGAAAATAGTTTATAGCTCATATGCAAACAATATGAAGATATTTTATCTTTTGTTGTAGTAGCTTATACATAAGCACTTTTATGACGCTATAAGTGTTTGACTATGCTGTTTATTTACATTAGGGCCTAATTTTGGACTTTCTTATAGGTTTGTGGGATGGAAGAGCCCCTTGAAATACCTATACTAAATGATCTTACTATGGTTTTGGGCTCTATATTTCAGGTAATGATTTGGAATTTTGGTATTGTGCTTTTTTTTTTTTAATCTTTGTAATAATTACTAGAAACTTACACACACAACCATGAGAGTCAGATTCGACAATGTGTATTAGGTTTAATTGGGAAAACAAGAGAGAAAGGGGTAAAACAGCTGAAAGACCATTAAACATAATACACTGTTAGAATCTTCTCTTCATGTAAGCGGGAGAAACGGAACAGACAACAAAACTAGCAGGATGGTTGTGGAAAGACGTACATGAGCCTGAATCTATAGCGGATCTTATGTATCACATGTGCAACTTGTCTGCTGTGCTATGCCATTTTTCTCATTTTGCAGTCAATGCTTCAGTAAATAAATGGATTTAAGAGAGCAGTGGGATCTAGGGAAATAGTAATGTCAAAGTAATGTGTATGCTTAACAAACTGATGTGAATGCATGTTTACTTGCAGAGAATTTGTATGGCCATATAAACCATTTTTGCTTCAGTTCTCTTGGGAATTTGGATCCAATGTGTGAGTGTGTGATGAACCTTGAAAGGTAAAGTTCATAGTTGATAATGTGTTGTACTTATTTTCATCAACAATTACCTTTTTGTACTTATTTTCTAAATATTGTTGAATAAACATTAAATGTGTTAGTAATAAAGTTTTACATTAAACATGGTAGTAGGAAGGACAAAAGTTTTAGTAAGTTATTAGTAGCAGTTATGTTTTAGTTTATGTTTTAGAATTGTAAAAGCTATTTGGGTCTATAAAAGACCAAAAGTGTATTTTATTTTATAAGAGCAATATAGAAGTATTTCATATACGAAGTCTGATCATTTTATAACAATTTGGCATCAGAGCTCATGGCAAACATGATAAATCAAATGCCGTTGCCACGGCTAACGAAGTCTAATTATGAAAACTGGAGTATCCAAATGAAAGCTCTTCTTGGATCTCTAGACGCGTGGGAAGTGACCAATGATGGGTTTGAAGAACCAACAGAAGTTGGGGGATATACGGCAGCTCAAACGAAGGCGTTGAAAGAGACGCGATCGAAGGACAAAACGGCATTATACATGTTGTTCAGGGCTGTAGATGAATCAGGCTTCGAAAAAATTGTTGGTTCGACTACGTCGAAACAAGCGTGGGACACGATAGAAAAAGTGTTCAAAGGAGCAGATCGAGTGAAACAAGTTCGACTCCAAACTCTTCGTGGCGAATTGGAGAGGATACAGATGAAGGATACAGAAATTGTATCTGACTACATCACACGTGTGCAAAAGGTGGTGAATCAACTCACCAGAAATGGAGAGACGGTACCTGATGCACGAGTTGTTGAAAAGATCTTGAGATCTTTAACAGACAAGTTTGAGAATATTGTGTGTGCAATAGAAGAGTCGAAGGACCTTTCGACGCTCTCAATCGAAGAGCTCGCTGGTTCTCTCGAAGCACATGAACAACGAAAGATGAAAAAGAAAGAAGAAGCAGACGAAGAAGCAAACCAAACCAAGGAATCGAACAAAGACGAAAAGGTACTCTTTTCTCACAACTTTCGAGGAAGAGGACGTGGACGTGGAGGTCGTGACAGTGGTCGAAGTGGTAGAGGTAGCAACTTCGAAAGAGGACAATCGAGCCAACAAAATTGGCGTGGCAGAGGACGTGGTCAAAGAGGTGGTCGTTCGAATTATTCCAACTTCGAATGCTACAAGTGTGGGAAGTATGGTCATTATGCGAAGGATTGCAACTCCTACAAATGTTACAACTGTGACAAAGTGGGACATCTTGCAAAAGACTGTCGAATCGAAAAGAAGATTGAAGAAACAACCAACCTAGCCTTGGAAGCTGAATCGAATGAAGGTTTTCTCCTGATGGCTCAAAACGAAATCAAAACCAATGACAGTGTTTGGTATCTTGACTCAGGAGCAAGTAATCACATGTGTGGTTACAAACACCTGTTTAAAGATATGAAGAGAATTGAAGATGGTAATGTGTCTTTTGGAGATGCATCGAAAGTGAAGGTCGAAGGAAAGGGCACAATCAGTTACTTGCAGAAGGATGGCTTGATTGGATCAATCAAAGACGTTTACTATGTACCAGATCTCAAGACCAACATATTAAGTCTGGGACAACTTACAGAAAAAGGTGTTTCGATACTTATGAAAGATCGAACATTGCACTTGAAGGACAAAGTAGGATATCTGATTGCCGCTGTCGAAATGGAAAGACATCGAATGTACAAACTGAACCTGAGGAACATTCGAGAGAAATGTCTGCAAATCGAAGTGCAAGACAAAGCGTCACTATGGCATATGCGTTTTGGTCATCTACATCATGCTGGTTTGAGAAGGTTGGCGAAAAGGAACATGGTGCATGGACTACCAGACATGGATTTCGAAGGAAAATTATGTGAAGAATGTGTGCTCAGCAAACAAACAAGAACCTCATTTCAAAGGAAGGCAGAGTATCAAGCTAAACATATTCTCGAATTGATACATACTGATATATGTGGGCCAATCACTCCAGAATCCTTCAGTGGAAAAAGGTACTTCATTTCTTTTATTGATGACTTCTCAAGAAAAACCCGGGTCTACTTCCTGAAAGAAAAGTCTGAAGCATTAGAAGTGTTCAAAAAGTTCAAAGTAATGGTAGAGAAGGCAACAGACAGACACATCAAAGCAATTCGATCTGACAGAGGAGGTGAGTATACTTCAATGGCCTTTGTGAAGTACTGTGAAGAACAGGGCATAAGGAGATTCCTAACTGCACCATATTCACCTCATCAAAATGGTGTGGCTGAAAGGAAGAATCGAACTATTTTTGACATGGTTCGATCAATGCTCAAAAGCAAGAACATGTCGAAAGAATTTTGGGCAGAAGCAGTACAATGTGCTGTTTATATTCAGAATAGATGTCCACATTCGAAGTTAGAAGACAAAACACCACAAGAAGCATGGAGTGGACAGAAGCCAACAATTTCTCATCTCAAGGTATTTGGTAGTATAGCTTATGCACATGTACCAGATCAACGAAGAACAAAGCTTGAAGACAAAAGTCAGAAGTACATATTCATTGGATATGATGAGAAGACGAAAGGGTACAAGCTCTTCAATCCCATAAGCAAGAAAGTGATCGTGAGCAGAGACGTTCGAATGAACGAAGCAAGCAAGTGGGACTGGAACATTTCGACAGAGGTTGTTGACACAGTCGAAGAAACAACTGTAGCTGTACCAACAAGTATTCCAACAGAACATGAAGAAACAGAAGATGGAGATGAACCTCTACAATCAAAAATGAGAAGTTTGCAAGATTTGTATGATTCAACAAGTGAGGTGCATCTTGTGTGTCTTCTGGCAGATGCTGAAAATATCAGTGTCGAAGAAGCGTTACGAGATAAGAAGTGGAAAAGTGCCATGGACGAAGAAATTAGAGCAATCGAACGCAACAATACTTGGGAGCTAGTCGAATTGCCAAAAGGTAGTCAACCCATTGGTGTAAAGTGGGTATTCAAGAAAAAAATGAATGCTCAAGGAGAAATCGAAAGATTCAAAGCACGGCTGGTTGCGAAGGGATACAAACAGAAAGCAGGAATTGACTATGACGAAGTGTTTGCGCCTGTTGCAAGAATGGAGACAATTCGATTACTCATTTCTCAAGCTGCTCAGTTCAAATGGTCAATATTTCAAATGGATGTCAAGACATCATTTTTGAATGGTGTGCTCGAAGAAGAAATCTATGTCGAACAACCACTTGGATATATGAGAACTGGAGAAGAGAAGAAGGTGTTGAAACTGAAGAAATCACTGTATGGGCTGAAGCAAGCACCTAGGGCATGGAACACACGTATTGACACATATTTCAAGGAGAATGGGTTCGAGCAATGTCCTTATGAACCCGCCTTCTATGTGAAGAAAAATGGAAGTAATTTATTACTTGTTGCTCTCTATGTTGATGATCTTATCTTTCTAGGCAGTGATGTTCAGATGATCGAAGATTTCAAGAACACCATGACAAGCGAATTCGAAATGACAGACTTAGGTCTGATGAGATTCTTTCTTGGTCTGGAGGTTCGACAAGAAGAAGCTGAAATCTTTATCTCACAAGAAAAATATGCAAAAGAAATCCTAGAAAAATATAAAATGAAGAATTGCAATCCAACTTCGACGCCAATGGAACCAGGTACAAAACTGTCAAAGTTTGATGGAGGAGAACGGGTCGAAGAAAGCAAATATCGAAGCTTGGTAGGTAGCCTTCGATATCTCACATGCACAAGGTCAGACATTTCACTAAGTGTTGGCATAGTGAGTCGATTCATGGAGGAGCCAGTACACACACATTGGAAGGCGCTGAAACGAATTCTAAGATACATCCAAGGAACAGTATCACTAGGAATGTTTTATTCAAAAACAGAAGACTATAAGTTAGTTGGTTATTCTGACAGTGACTGGTGCGGAGACATAGACGATCGAAAGAGCACCTCTGGATATGTGTTTTTCATGGGAAACACAGCATTTACTTGGCTGTCGAAGAAGCAACCTATAGTAACACTTTCGACGTGTGAAGCTGAATATGTGGCAGCATCCTGGTGCGTCTGTCATGCAATATGGCTCAGAAGGTTGATAAGCAAGATGGAGCTGAAACAGGAAGATCCAACAATAATACAAGTGGACAATAAATCAGCTATCGAATTGGCAAAGAATCCAGTGAATCATGAACGAAGCAAACATATTGATGTTCAATTTCACTTCATTCGTGAACATGTGAAGGAGGGAAGTGTCAAATTAAGGCATGTAGCAAGCAGAAACCAAGCAGCGGATATTTTTACAAAACCACTATCGAAAGAGGTCTTCGACAGAGGCAAGAAGATGATAGGAATGCTGGATGGAAGAAACATTTAAGTTTACAGAGGAGTTTTGTTGAATAAACATTAAATGTGTTAGTAATAAAGTTTTACATTAAACATGGTAGTAGGAAGGACAAAAATTTT